TTTTTTTATTATAAAAATTAATAATTTTTTTTATTATTTTTCTAAATTTATATATTTTAATAATACACAATTTTTTCACAGTTGAATGGAGAATTATATTGGCCCATTAGTGAAGAGGACAACTTAGACATAGGAAACTTTACAATTTCATTAAAAAGAATAATTAACTATACAACCTATATTCAAAGAACTCTTTCTATACAACATAATAAAAAGAAATCTGAAAAAGTCGTTGTACACATGCAATTTCTTGTGTGGCCTTCTAAGTAAGTTTACTATAATTAAAATAAAAAGAATATATATACAGCAAAATTAATATATGTTATTTTTCCAGTGGTTTTCCAAGTAGCCCTGGCGCTATACTTGCATTTGCAAGCGATGTGATGACTGAGCAAGCATTAAGACGTTGCTCTCCCAAGCCTGTAATTGTACATTGTTTAGACGGCGGTTCCTTAAGTAGTTTGTTTTTAGTAGCTGCTACAACAGTGTGTCACATACGAGCAGGTTGTGGAATTGTAGATGTACCACTGGTTTTTAAAGGCCTTGCAAAATGTCGCAAACAAGTTGTGAATAAAGAATCATTGTTATTTGCATATAGATTGGTATTGTACCATGCTCAGGACATTTTAATGAAACGTAAGAAAAATAATTTCTTCATGATATTCTTTCAGGAAATTGTTTAAACATTATACTCTATTAGTTTTTTCTTTTAGGCGGCATTTTATCTTCTACTCGATCTACATTTGAAAATTTTGATAGTTTTAAAGGAAATAAGGAGAAAACATCAAGAAGATTGCAGTGTCATCCCTCGGACGATTTTCTTCATAATCTTGCTGTAGGAATACAACATTCTGATCTGGAACAAGGTATATATAATTAGGAAAAATATAAATCGATAATTTCAAGCAAGCAAATTGCTCCGAGTATTAGTTTTTATTTAAACCTCTTAGAAAATGTCAAATTTATCATATTTTAGGAAAAACTCAAGCTTTAACAAGCGATAACGCATCGAGTAAAAGTTCAACGTCATCGCAAGAAAAATCTAACGGCGGAGTCATCGATCCTTTGAGCCAATTGGATCCTTTGTGGTCCATCAGAAGATAATTGTAAAATGCTAGAGAAATGTAAATTTCATTGTGCAACTTTAAACGGACGATTATTTAAACGAAATAGCCATTCCTGTCTATATTAAAGCAATTGAGAAAAAATATCGAGCTAGAATTTTTAAGAGCTTGTATAAATAATGTTATAGAGGAATTATAAAAGGAGTAACAATATGCATCTAAATATTTAAATTAGCCTTAAAATAAAAGACATTTATTCAAGTATTTGCTAATCCTTAAGTTTTAACAGTTTTACAGTCTGTTAAATATATAGAATAAAAAATATAAAACACATGCCACCTATATATATTCGCTTTGTATTCATTTTCATATTTATACATCTTGACTTAAACAATGTAATCTAATTACATTCTTTTATTCATATTCGATATAGGCTATAATGTACGATTAATCCATTTAGATAAATTTAAATCTTTTTGTATTTATATTCAGCACTCTTTAATAATTAATTTAAATATTTTTTACCATACCTGTTGCCAAGCAAAAGAAAATGAATATAATATTTAAAAAAAAACTTCAAGAATTATTCGCGTGTTTTTCAAATATAATTTCTTTAAATATAAGAAAAATATTTTAGATGATTATGCAATATATCGCATCAGATGCGAAATATTTATTACAGTGAGAAACATATATTCTCTTTTATATTTAGAGCATAAGCATATGCTAATGTTCATAAACAAATGCATTATTATAATAGTCATGTTATTCAGTATTATATATGTGAATTTTTAATGGGCGTCTCTGCCAAAAAAATGTGATAAACACATACAGCTTTCAAAATTCTAATAAACTGCATATAGCAATATTTATATTCATATCGCGTTTCTTTTATCTTTGTGATAACATTTTACTTATAAAAATTTCGATTACAGCGCGATGTACGATAATACGTAGTATTAAATATCGCAGTGTTCATCACGCAAAACTCATACATCGATGAACCTAAATATCAAAAGCTTTATGAAGTTATGGTAGTAGACCTATTTGTATCTATATAATATCGTCATGTTCAAGAACACTTTAAGCCCCTCTATTTCGTAGATCTTTCACTTTGTAAATTCGTACAAGCCAATGCTCTGTCGTGTACGCTTCTTCCAATATATTTAATTCAAAATTCTTGTTTCCAATCTCCATATTCCTCACTCTGTCGTAACCTGAAGCCTTGCCTATATTTGAAAGATTAATTGAATAAGAATTACTACAAAATGGATCTAAAAACTACACAGGTTTTAATCAAAAGCCTTACCGCCTTCAGTGAAAACTTGGCCGAATCTGTAATAACACATTTTGTACATAAGACAATTGAGCAAAATTGGGGATCCATCTTTATCCACTCGAAATTCGCCTGCAGAATTATAATAATCCCACTCAGTTATGGATTTCCCTTTCTCTGTACTACCGCCAATGCGCACCATCCATAGGAACTTGTTTATGTCTAATCGGAAAACATAATAATTAATAATACAAGATGCTATTCTATTTTCAGGATCAAAACTCGAGTCAGTTGGCTTTTAAGTATGCCTAAAGATCGAAAATGACACATTATATTCTTACCATCCGATGAGTAGCCAGTCAGCCCTCCAAAAATCACAAGGACATAGTTGACATCTAATTCTCTCATAATCTCATAAGCCTTTTCCTCGGAACTCGCCATCGCCTGACCGACTCTTGATATGTGCGTATTATTCCATGTGTTATTGTCTACTAAGATAGTACGATTTGCCATTGCAGTTATCTGATATCCATAATCCCACCAAGACATAACTTTAGCATTCTAAAAAAAATATTATTTATCTCCATCTTTTTTTGCATAAGTTTTCTATTTTAAGAGAGAGAAACACATTAATTTTTTTTTTTTAAATTTTTTAGTAAAATTCTATACTACTAGATATTGTTTATACCTGTATCTTATTAATGACACAAATTTTTAGTTCTTAATCCAAATATTATTTGTTTGTTGTCTGAAATTACATAACGATGAAACTTACCTCGGGTGTATTCATACGCAGCCAGTAATATGCTTCTCTAAAATCATCAAAAATCATTCGTCCACCGTCAGGCGATCGTGCAGACAGTACAATACTCGGTGAACTATAAGCTTCTGCTGTAACCCATGTGCAATGAAGAGTATAAGAAAAGAAAAGTACACACATTACTATGATGAAAAACGTGGCAATCTGAAAATACATGATATATTCTTAATATTGCATTATTTTTTTTTGTATTTTAATATATTATATTTTAAGTGTATCTATCTTCAAAAATATTAGAAGTTCTTTTCTTAACTTACTTCACTTCTCAAGACATAATTATTTTCAAATTTCTTGGCTTTTTTATCGACAACTTTCCCGCTTTCAACTTGTTTCATATAAGTAACTAGTAAAGAGGATGCTCCAATCCCACCCAAAATACACATAACTGGAGCAAGTACTAACATTAAACGTACCATCACTCCCTAAAATATTAAATATTATTTGTGTACAATATAGATAAAATTATTTCTACAGAAAAAATGAATATCTAAACTGATACATAAGCTAATAATCTATAATATAATGTCAATGAAAAAAATAGTATTAAATATATATATGTTTTATAACATAATTTTATATTTACTTACTGCAAAATATAAACTAGTAACTCCATATAAAATTAGGAAAATGTTTGAGTCTGTTAACTTGGAAAAACAAAAATATAAGCCTGATGGAAACAAAAACACAAGTATCTGTAGGTCAAAGTAGAAGGAGCTCCACGATGTTGGTTGATGCTCCGAAACTGAAGCAATTATTGGAATATGATTTTTGGCATAAGATGGATCAAGCAAAGAATAAAAGCGTCCGGTCCATGGTGATATTTTTCCTTAAAAATAATAAAACAAAAGAGTATAAATATATATAAATGATTTATCATATCATTTATCATAAATTAGAAAGTATTATTAAAAGATCTATACCTGTAATAGTTAAAATACCACCAACTGTGCATGATGCTGTAACCACCACAATAAGCAAGGCACGAAATAATATTTCAAAGTCCTTTTGGGACAATTTATTTCGCAAATAGTCCACTAACGCGTGTATTTGACAAAGTCCAAAAACGCCCAACGCCTATAAAAAAAATGAAGTAATTAAATAGCATATCCAATTTTTAGTCACATTTAAATGCAGATGTAAATTTTAATGGCGTAACAAATACTTACAAGCATGTGTTCAGAACTTTGAACAGGTTGAAAACCAACGAATGAAATTTGCATAGATAGAATTGTCCCTAAACAGTACAAAATGCTATATGCAATATATATTCTATGGGAAAATCTACCAGTCACCATCAAGGTCAGTACATGTAACGGGATCAAATTAATTAAAAAGACATATCCGCCCCAAGAAGACACCATATAGAAATATGCTAGCGCAGAGCATGTAGCCCAACATATTGCTCCTGTTTTCACAGCTTTGATCCACATGTAGTATGTGAATAACATGCAAAAGATTGCTATGCCTTCATTATCATAAGAACCTGCAACTGATCGCGATATATAACCAGGTACAATTGCAATCATTGCAGCTGCAAATAGGCCTGATGCAGAATCCTAAAAAAGTAACAATAAATTTAATGGAATGCTTGTTTAAAAAAAAACGATATACTTGTGCTTGTATTGTAAATAATAAAAATACAAATCATACTTTTAATTCTTTTGTAAGTAGGTAAGTAATAATCGTTGTTAAACTTGAAAACAGTGGAGCAAGGAAGACACAAATGTTACGTATGTTTAATGTAATATTGAGTAACCACGAGAGATGATATAATGTTGCTGAAGTTATCATCAAACCAGGATATATAGTTCCTACAAAATAACAAAATATTTATTTTCAAATTAATAAGTTCTTCTTCTTCTGAAAGGAAGACTATATCAAACTTTATTAATATACAATCACTGTACCTCCAATTATTCTGCCAAGCGGATACCAAACTCGATCATCAAACCAGTTGTGAAAACTATAAAATCCATTTTCAGCTAAGTATTTCGTTGTGCGGTAATTGAAATAAGGATCAAATTCATGAATGACACTTTCAAATCTTAATACTGAGAATAAACGTGTTGCAAATGCTGTAAAAGATAATTATATATATGTAAATAATTTTGTAAGTACAACTAATGTTTTTCTATGTCTATGCAGAAAAATTAAGATATGTATAAAGATATAAACATACATAAAATTGCTGCTAGTGAAAGTACAGTTAATTTTAAGAGTGTTTCTTGCTTCTGCGCCGTCATGCGCAAACCTCTTGCTTTTACTAACGATACCATGTTATTGCAGACACAATTTTAAATGAAATAAATCCCAAGTCTTATAACATCAATCTGCAAATAGATTAAATATTATTTTCAGTTTTAAATATATTGTTTGCACTCAACATTATCGATTAAAGACATTTTGCATATAACTTAAAATACAGATCTCTGAATAAGTTTAGTTTTCACGGAAAAATAACAAATAATTCTTAAATTTATTTCTATATATCTAGATTGCATACAGGCTAAGGGCACATGTCCGCTATTGTTTAAGGTTATAGTCAAATCGACAAGTAAATGTCGACGTGCGCGCAACCAAGCTGAAGTAATAAAAGGTTCCGTTTTGAGATAAACACTTCCAATTTTCGAGTATCTAATGCGCTTTCAAAAAAGCACATGCATTCTCAAACAATGCTGGGTTGTAAATTCAACACTGTGACCACGTACACAAGATTACCGGCCGGTGACACATGTACATGTCAATTCGCACATTTTATTCTAGCGTATCGTATGAACATCTAAATAATGTGTTAAGGACTTCCAAAATTAAATGAGCAAAACTTACGAAATTACTTTATACAACAAATGCGAGAAAACAATGTGGCCATTTAAATTATTAAAGGCCGGCAAGAGTTGACAAACCCAAGTCCGAATAAATTTTGAAGACTCCATGCGGTGAAAATGCAAAGCTCCAGTTTTGACGTCAAGAAATAAAGGCTGTGGTCGAAAAGATATTAGAGATGCTTCGAAGCGTTTGCTTGAATCAGGACAAAAAGAGTAAAGATTTCTTTATCCTGATTGGTTAATGAAATTTGAAACATCTCTAGCATCTCCTCGACCGCAGCCAATGGTAGCTACTGTTTTGTCTTTGTCAATGCGTGTTCAATGCCTTAAATTTTCATTAATACTCATTCCCGCCAGAGAAACCGGTACTGACCGGTAGGTTTTATGGGATTTGTATGGTTAGATGTGTTTTTGTATAT